ACCAATTCTCATTTTTATGAACAAAGTTTTACCTTCAATGAGATCATCAAAAACAAAGCAAGTATGAACAAAGTTTATCATCTTTTCAGTTAATCAATTCTCAATCAATCAGAAAAACCAAGTATGAACAAAGTTTATCAATTTTTCCTTTAACCAATTCACAATCAATACACAATCAGTATATGACCATGCATAAATAAAAGGAAAAAGAAACTTATCTGTATCAGTGAGAAAGGGAGAGAGACTTAGCAACACCTTCAACAAGAATCCATTCCTTTCCTTTGACGAAAACATAGCTTCCATCAACTACTTTAAAGGACAAATACTTTGTAACATCTATATGAATAAGAACACGAACAAGCTTGCCATTTCCCATCATAAACTAGTCCATCACATTGAAAGACAAGAGTTAGTAAGTGGCATTGATATAATTAGCATAAAATAAAACGAATGGCCATCAAAATACCTTAGGCATCATGTCAACATTGTAATCCCGACTAGCGCCTAAATGTTCAGGAGACTTCTCTTCTCCCTTGAACTTCTTCCAAAGCTNCAAACAAAAAAAACCCAAAAACATAAATAAAAGTAACTGATAATAAACTACCACAAAGCCTTTAAAGAAAATCCAGAAAACAGAACCTGATTGAGATTAAGCGATGTTGACTCTCCACCATAGTAGTCATTCATGTCCATGTGAAGCACCTACTCGTAATACCCAGAAAACAACACTTATCAATCGACCAAACCAATGCCTTCTTAAACCACATGGCTTAGCTAACCATTCCATCAAAATCAGATCGTGGNAAAAATCAAGAGATGGTTAAATCATAATCATNGAGATGGTTAAATCATAATCAAAGGTAAGGAAAAACTCTAAACTGGAGTACATCAATTCACAAATTCGATCAAAACCCCAAATCGATTTTGTTACATCAATTTCCGTAAATAAAACCACAAATCGATTCTGTTTCAACAATTTCCGTAATCAATCAGAACAACAAGTATAAAATTGTTCAGGATCTTACCATGCATGAAGATCGAGGCGGATTTGACCGATTCTCAACCAAATTTTCCGAAGTCCAGATGTGAATCCGCCGATTATAAGACGATTCCATATGCTTCCATACCAAATCGACCACCCACGACTCGATTCCGTCATGATTTGAGACGAAAAATCGTTGTATTTGGTCGATTCTATGAAGATTTGCATCTGGAAGTCGAAACGAGAAAGAGAGAAGAGAGACATGCGAAAAATAATTTTACGC